GAAGAATAAAAGAGCCTAGTTGTTTTACTCATTTCCTGGGTAAAATGAAGAGCTGAAAGGTTTTCAGTGAGAAAACTGCTTAGACTGCATTAAGCCAGATGTATATAGGGAATTCAAAAGGAATAAATGGAACAGAATTTTCTCACTTCAGTATAAAAGACACATAGGGCAAAAGAAGAATCCACTTGTCTCTGAAAACAGATAATCTAAGGTCTCCTGCAAGCTTTCCCAAACTCTGCTTTGGGAAATCAACCATTTTTCCGAATTAACTTATATGACAAAAGTTATCAGGTACAAAAAAAACAAACACACACACACACACACACAAAACATGTTGGCACCATCATTATGATTAAATGCCTGCAATACTAAACTCGAAAGAAACTTCTTGACTTCAGTCCTTTGAAGGAAGCCTATAATATCTTATATTACAAAAAYACACATACACTAGATTTTGAACTTGAGAAGGATTAGCACATTAGCATAATGCATTTATACAGCAAATTACACTAGAATTCACAAGAAAAACTCAAACCTACACGGGCATATTTAACTCGAACTTCACGCATGAAAGCTTTTTCATCGGTCTAATAGATTTCACAGCAAAATGGATTTCTAACTCTTTGTGCAGCTATACCACAGTCAGAGGGACAAAGTCAACAGTTATATAAAACAACTCTTCTCTGTAGGGCTGTCTTTATCAACATATGGGACCTTACTAACATACAAAATGCTTTAAATACTTTTTTTTCCCCCCCCCAGAAATCACCAAGTATATACTCTGCCAAAATGACAGATTTCTAGAAGTGCATTATCATTTAGATTTCTRTAAGTGCATTATCATCTAGCTTAAAAATTCAGGAACTAGTGAATTACTAGTGTTGACTCCAGGCTTTTCATTTCTGTTTCGATGGATTGGTCAAAAGTTCATTTTTCTTATAGCTCTGTGAGTAGAGCAGATAAGTATTAATGTATGACTATGTAATGCCCAGACAAAGTTAAAGAGAGAAGAATGTCCAAATAAAATACATCATCAGGGTAAATAAATGACTTTTTTTTTTTTTTTAAAAAATGCCCCACTACCACAGACATGTAGCAATAGGTGTTAGCATCACTCCTTCAAATTCAGATTTGTAGTGTCATATCAGAGATCCTACTCTGAAGCAGATTTCATCAACTGGATGTAATGATTTTAAGGTATTAAAACATTTTGCTGCGTTTGAATAGCTCGACATCTGACAATGGCAACACTATTCAAATAAATACGTAGATTTAACAAAACTGATTCTGATTTTTTCTGGCATAAAGTAGTAAAAATGGCTGTTAGCCTCTCCTCTCTACCCTTTTCTCTCTTTTTATTTAAAGAAAAAAATCTTATTTTAGTACATATTCAACTACATATGAGGTCTCATTTACCTAGCAAGCTTCCTGGTCATTACTGACAGAAGACTGACACCCATTACTGCATTCAATTGAAGTGTCATTTATCCTATCTAAAGCCTATCCAATCCATCTATCCAAGATCTTTATTCTTATGTAGAACTTAATTATTTTAGTGCCTCCAGACTCAGTTCAATTAAGAAAGTGGAGAAATACATTATGTGCATTTATATCTATCCCTAGACACAGAGCTAATTTAAAGTCTACTTGCAGACACAGCTTTCTGGACTAGCTAATCTAAATTACATACTTCAAAGTTTCCTTCATTTCCTAATATTCCTATGACAAAAAGACCTTTAAGTCAATAATAACTCAGAATAATTTCTTAGCCAGCAAGTTGTTCTTATTTGCTTCATTAAACAGGGGACTATTTACCCCTCCCCTCTGAAGCACATTGTAAAAGCACCTTATTTTGCCAACAAGCAATTCAATAGTTCTTCACCTGTTATTCCCTCTCATCCAAGATACTTCTCAAGTGCCTCTAGGTGGTGGGTAGGGTTAGCAGGGAAGAATTATTATATGATTTAAAAATATATTTTTTAAAAATCTAGATTTCTAGGACCAAATACATCTATTTCACCTATGCAAGCTCWAAGATTGTTTTATTTTCTTCTTTTAGCATTGCAAACAGCTGTTGTGGGAAGATGCCCATTGCTGAAGGTAACAGAGGTGCTGCATGACCGCTAGTTTGAAGTGACTTGGGTATATGCACAGCTTGTGTTTCACTATAGACTCCCCACGCATCCAATGAAAAAGTGTTTCTACAGAATTGCTAGCAAAAMATTTCTAACAAGCTGCATAATATCCAGTATATATATCCAATATATTGCTAGTATTTAGGCAAATATTCCTAACAGAAGTTRTCCATCATCACCCAGCAATTGCTTCCATGTTAAAAGCCTCCCAACTTCCTTCAATGTTCTTTAAAACTGGATTACTTGTGTATTTTGTTAAGCTTTCTCTGAAGTACTCTCCTCCCAACTTGTATTTATCACTACAGAGTATCCAGAATCATCAACAGTGCAGATGAGATCTCACCACCAAGTAGAGCATAATAATTATCTCCTGTGTCTCACATCTGATGCTTTTGTAACTATTACCCAGAACAATTTATTGTTATCATCAGATTAACTCTTCTGCTTCATTCTCTATTTTTCATGTCCAACACTCGCAGTACTCTTTTTTACTTTTTTTCCAAGTACATTCTGTTCTAGCACCTTGATTATTAGTAGAAACATTAATTAAGATAGTAAACCTAATCACTGCACAGTGATTTAACTAAGAATGTATTTCTCGAGTTTCCAATTAAGAACAACATCTAGGGAAAATTACTGCTGAAGTATGCAGAGCTATTAAGTTTTTTTTTAACTTAAGAACCTTAAAAATAGCTTAGATCAGATAAAAGCTTAGCAAAGAACAAATTAAACTTATATACTATTCTAACCTAGATAGTCTGTTCTATGTAGCCTATTCAGGCTAGAATTTAGTATCATTCCTAATCAGATGGGGAAGTGGGAAGGGAAGGAAGCTAAAAGTGCCTCCCACAGGCCAAGGCTAACAAATTACCATTGACTGTCCATAAGGAAGTTATGTTTATCTTGAACAGTGAGATAACATCATAGCTGTAACTGATATGCTTCTTTGCCATTTACATAATGGAGGAAGCTGGGTATTAAYTGCACAGTATCTTGTCTACTAATACAAAATTGTAGCAACATATGGTCAGATAGTTAGGCAATTTCAATTTTTTTTCTTCTTATCCATATAACTATTGGCTTAACATTGCTGTCAGTCTCCTCTCATCTGAACTGCTTTATTCATATTGTACCAGTATTTAGGATTTTAAAATATATTAAACACAAACATATACACATACTTCCTTTAGTTCAGCACAAGCCCTATTTACCTAGGACAGATTCCTTAAGTATCTCTTGATTTAAAGGCCTTACTTCAGGGTGAAAAGGGCATTCCATCAATCTCCTTGCTGTTTCCTCAYAGTTATCTATAAATAAGACTGCCAGTATTGTTTTTCAAAATCTCTCCAGAGCTTTCCCCTGAACCTACCTCTGTCGTAAGCTAATGTGTCCAAAGGGGATTAAGTTACCTTTATATATGACTTAAGTTACATAGCTGCAGGTTGGAAGTGTAAGTTGCCTGCTCTTATGTCTTTCCTACTGAATTTAGCAAAAAAAAAAAGAAGGGTAAAAGGCTAAATTTAGTTCTGTTCTAAGTATGCTACAAGAAGCACTATAAACTCATCTTAATTCCTTTTGTTTATTGCTCTAGCTCTTCTCACAGAATGGCTGAGGTTGGAAGGGACCTCTAGAGATCATTTAGTCCAACCTCCCTGCTCCAGCAGGGACACCTAAAACATGTGGCACAAGGTAGCATCCAGGTGGGGTTTGAAGACCTCCAGAGAAGGAGACTCCACAACCTCCCTGGACAGCCTGTTACAGGGCTCTGTCACCCTCACAAGTAGTAAACAGTAAAGAAGTTCTTCCTCACATGCAGATGAAATTTCCTGTGTTTCAACTTGTACCCATTACCCCTTGTCCTATCACTTGCCACCACCAAGAAGAGTTTGGCCTCATCCTCCCTACRTTCCCCCCTCAGGTACTTACACATATTGGTCAGATCTCTCAGTCTTCTCCTCTCTAGGCTAAACAGACCCTGATTGCTTAGCCTTTCCTCATAAGAYAGATGCTCCAGTCCCTTAATCATCTCTGTTGCTCTACACTGGACCCTCTCCAGTAGCTCCACATCCCTCTTATACTGGGGAGCCCAGAWTTGCCCCCAATGCTCCAGGTGCAGCCTTGCCAGAGCTGAGTAGAGCGGCAGGATCTCCTCCTTTGACTTACTGGCAACATCCTCCTGATGTAGCCAGGATCCCATTGGCCTTCTTGGTCACGAGGGCACTGCTGCCTCACGGTTAACTTGTCAACCAGGACTACAAATCCCTCTCTCCGCAGAGCTGCTCTCCAACAGGTCAACCCCTGATGCTGTCTACCAACTGACACTAGCAGGTCAGCTTCTCATGCAGAAGCAGTAAAATCCTGGGGTTTTAGCTGCTTAGACAGAACTGACTCCTGCTATGCAGCACATTACAAAAGGGTCAAGTACTTCAGGTTACAGGATGCAGTCTGGGATTGACCTGTGTGTCCTATGTCCCATCTAGCAAGAACGATTTTAAGTGCTTTGCAAAGCATAAAAACACTTTGCTTGAAACTATAAAGTTATCCAGGCAAACATCTCAGTATTTGATTGCTTTGGAGCTAGAACTGCTAACATCACTGCCTAAATGAAAAGCGGTCAAGGAATATACTTATACAGGTGCAAAAACATTATCAGAGCACTGCTTTGAAAGGTTTTATACTGCTATAATAAATGAAAAAACATTTAAGAAAATTTTCTCCCTCCTTCCACAATTGAAGTTTTTTATTATTATTAATCCAGCCTTGAATAATGATGCTTATTTGGTAACAAGATCAGGCAAAAAACAAGAGCAAATGCCATTCTGCATTCCAATATGAATCATCCGGTAAAGTTGTGCAATATATATATATTTCATCCAGTTTCTGACATCATAAGTCATCATGCCACTCAATTTTTAACAATACAATAAAATACTTCAAAAGGAACTGTTTCATGAATATATTTCAKGAGACCAGACACTTTAATTCTTCAATTTATACCACTCGTGTCCATAATCATTTTACATTTCACACTTCATGCTCTCAAACATCACTCTAGAAGACTAATAATATTTTGTGACAAAAAAATTAARGATACTAGCCAGGCTTTATAGAGTTAAAGCAGCCTATAAGACGACGTACAATTTAGTAGGTAATAAATTATGACACTTGCTGACTAGAACAATATTCCATCTAGACTAATATTTGATCCATTCAAATACAAAATGTATTTGAAGGTTATATACTACTTGTTCTATATACTTACAGTGCAAAAAAGCAAGACTTTTTTCCTGAGCATTTAGGAAGTTAACTTTTTTCCTTTTTATTAAATCAATGATTCTGATCCATTTAAAATATACTCCCCTTACACCTAGGTCTGTCAAAACTTTACCGTTAAAACAGGCAGCAGTTGGTAGATATTATAAGTCCAATCAGTCCAATCAGGAATAAAGCTATTTAATGACATGTCTAAAAYTTTGCTCCAATTTTTCAAGTCTAAGGTTACTACAAGATTTTGACTTATACCAAGAAGTCCAGAAATGAGTTTTGCATTGACTAAACATTCCAAAATGTACAAAACATGCCTTCCAAAACAGAGAAATAAGTCTCTGCTTGAGCAAATTATATTACATATTTTGACTTACTATTCCTTAGTTACCATAATGCCCAGTGAGCTTTGTCTCCTACAAACATCAGAGAAGAAAACTTTCAGGAATGTATAGGAGCATTTTGTAAGGAAGGGTGAATATCTTACATGATCATCTTTATCTCAACAGCTACAGACCATGAGTTTCTAATTCAATCTTCTCCTCTGTTTGCAAGGCATCAGGATCTACTGGAGGAACAGGTGGTCTTAGGATAATCTCTGGACCTCCACCATAGATTGACTGTAGAAAATTCCATGTTTCTTCAGATATCTGTCCAGAATCTGCACCTGAAAACATTTTTAAAGTTTTAATTACTAGTTAAAATTCTTTGGTCTTTTTTTTTTTTTTTTTAAAGTCCATAACAGAAATGAAAAGAACCAATTACTCAGACAATTTTAAAACTCTAATATGGATTTTTGCTTTATTTTACACTAAGCACCAAACCTGTTGATATGTGTTAGCTTTACGCTTCTTGATTCTACAACTACCTGCTCTCTGAACTATTCAATACGTAGCAGAGCTCAATTATAAAAATGAGCATGTAAAAATAAAYTAACTGCCCCACTAATGCTCCTCATGTGACACTGTTAGTAACCCTTCACAGGGGCCAAGTAGCACATCACCACTATTTGTTTTTGACACAAGAATTCTGTCCAAAACAGTTGAGTCCAGGATTTCCTAACCTAGGCATAGAAGGCTATTTTCTGCTCTGTCTGAATAAGACTTCTCCATCTTAAGCAACTGATTAAAAATCTGCTTCCAGGAAGCTTCTCCCAATATCCTTTTATTAGAAATTATTCTTAATCTGCCTCTAAGTTCAATTACAGTATGCTCTATTTCAAGACAAAACAAAGCTAAATCAAAGGGACTTCACCATATACGCTCCTAATTTTTTAGCCTTGCCACCTGTGCTACTACTCTACACAAAGTATTTCCGAAGGGGAAGAGTACWAAGAATTGTACATTTGTTTACCCACACTGACTCATCCAGGCAAAGCTTCATCTAGAAGCCAGGATGCACTGTACCAGAAATAACAACTATGCCTCAGTGAGCAAATGTTTACATTCAGCACTGTACTTAAAATAAATAAAATATGCATCTGACTCCATTCCTGTAGGCAAAAGAGTACATCTGCCTCCTCTCATGCAGCTCCCAGCTCCCCTAACTGAACTGTCCTGTTTAACTGAACAAGCACCGTGAACTAGCACAATGGGAGCAGGACCACTGGATCACAGATGTGTGACACAATGCACTACTTAGTGTGCTCTGAGCTCTCAGGAGGAGAGACAAATATTTCTATAACCTCTTAATTTCTATTTATGTTCTAATTTAAATCCCAAAATTCAAAAACTTTTTTTTTTTCTTTTACTGATCATGAGCTGAATGTTTCTGTTGCTGTATTTTAGTCAGATGCTTCGTAGTATATTTGTATCCTATGTTACAGCTCAAGATTTTTAAATCCATTGGCACACTGATGGGAGCAAGAATTCATTCTCTCTCTCTCAAAAAAAAAAAAAAAAAAACCACCACCATTCTCAATGTTTCACAGCTAATCAGATTTACCCAGGAGCTAGTGGCCTCCAGTGAACTCACTGATAGGCCCACTGTATGCTGTGGCATTAACTGTGGGAAAAAAAATCCAATTAACAAATGGTCTTTAAAAAGTCTTCATAGAACAAACCATATTAGAAAATATATCTCTCTACAAACAAAATTCAAAAAGAAATTAAGACTCTGACTATGAAGAATAACAAACATTTGTATGCTAGAAGAGTTTTTTTGCAGTATATGATAGTAAATAACTTGCTGAAAAATGAGCAACAACATTTGCTCCCTGTAGTTTGTTTTCCTCTGCCTGGAGTAGCTCTCAACTCAAGCTTAATTTCAGGATTAAAATAATTAAATATAGATAAAGAACCAAGCCTAAGAGCCAAGATTATTCTGTACGCTTTCTACATTTTTACATGCACTTCAGTTACTCTACAAYAGACATTAATTCATAATTTTATGAATAAGATGATTGCCTAAAAATGGGCCTTGTAACAACTACCACTTTCCTAGCTTCAGCAAACACATCCTTAGGAGTCCAGAGACACTTACCTTGCTTTAGCATAACATTTCCACCTTTTGTGACAGCAATCTTGGCATTATCAATAGGACCAGGAGGCTCTACAGTGACAAGAAGATTGATTAAAATGGGAGAGTGAAAGCAAACAAGAGTCTTCATGTTTGTTTTTTCAGAGCAAGGAGAAAATAGCTGGTTTGCTTCCTGCTTGTTCTTGCACTGCTCAACAATATGTTCCAAGTTGTTAAAAGCTAATCAGAATTTTAATTAAGAGCACTTTTTTTTCCCCAAGCATTCATGATTACAGAAAGCCTTCAAGCAATATAAAATGCAAATTAATCCTAATTCTCACTTCCAGTCACACTGTCCCAGAGAAGACTCAAATAAAATTATAGAACATTTTGTCAGTGTTTCCATTTCAAAGCTTTAGGTGCACCTAAAGGCAGCTGATAATGACATGATTACAGTTGTCCGAGGGTCTAAATCACGTCAGAGAGGTTCCCTTTCCTCCAAAGCCAACAGTCTATTTGCACTGCATAACATAACATACACTTCCTCATACATGAACCCCTCTTTTATGCTGCTGCTAAASGATCACCCTGTTCTATCCAGATGCTGGTGTTTAAGTTTACTACCATTTTGGAAAGATGCAGAACAACAAACTTTGTATAAACCTGAAACCAGCCTTGCCCACCTAAGTAACATACGTTCACAACCATCTCRCCCTCCATTCCCCTGAATTATCCAATTTTGACTACAGTTTAATTTTATTTCCAGGCATATTTGCTACATATAAAAACTGTCCTTGTTTTGTTTGTTTGTATTGGTAAACTTTCTGTTTATGAAGAGCTTTAGTTGCTTCATCTTGCTATTCTTCCTGCATCCTACTGCTACAGTAGATGCAATTTAAACAGCACCACTATTTGACTACAAGAATGAAAAGGTTATGYATATCTTGACATGAAACACAGCTTACCACTGTCTTTGCCCTTTACAAATCCTTCCCATTCTCTGAACCATGGCAAGCTGATGCAATAAAAAGTTGATGGGGATTCTTCTTCTTGGAATGCTCTATTAAGCTGCAAGGGGAAAAAAAAGGCAGAAAAMCAGTAATTCTTAAGAAAAGCTGCTAAATATTTTAAACCATTCACTAAATATTAACATAATACACTGCTCCCCCCTCAAAACAAAACAAAAAACCTGCTGCYAGAACCATAAACCCTTGGAAAATTCAAGAATTCTGAGGTGGCCTTCTAGTTGGCTCTTTTTTKGCTCGAGAATTTAATTTCTTTCCTCCCAGAACAGCTTGGCTTAAAACCAAAATCATCAAGTTGTTCTTTTAAGCAMAAGTGCTCATTCATCAAATACTACTGAATTACTCTGAATGCCCAAGTTTTCAGTGTAAAYAAAAAAATTTATAAATAGTAAGCTTATTTTTACAAAAAGTGTTTTGAAGACTTGTTTCACTCTTAGATGGCAAGCTCTTTGTATAATAAGTTACATATCTATGCTTCTCCCCTAATAATTTAGGCAGAAGCAAGTACAACTCCAACCAAGACTGATTTTATGACTTCCTTTAATTTAAAAACTGGAATATATTGCTATAAAAACTTTTCAGCATGACTTTTAATTAAGATTTGGGCAGCCTAACATTTTATTTTTGCTCACAGACTGCAAAAGAAAGACAGTGAAGAAAAGTAGCACTTGCTACACAAATATACAACGAGCTTAATTTAACAGATCCATTACAACATTAACATATTCAATTCATGCTGAACTATTCTGTTTATACCTCTAATTTAATTTTGTATCAGCAGGTACAAAATTAAAACTAAAGCTAAAGACTATGATTAGCTTATGAGAGATAGTTCCTTGAGTTACACTTCCCTATAAACAATTGCCTGGGATATCACAAGGACTGTAACAGGAAAAAGGTGATTCTGGGTAGGTATGCAAATATATTCAAGTCTATTTCGTAAATGAATCCCCTATCCACATGGTAACCCATAACTTGGGGTTACGAATATCAGATGACGTCAGAAAAATGGAATGAGAAGTGTTTACTTTTTTACCCGAATAAACATTTCCAATTCATTTTTCCTTCTCTTTTCAATTCTTTCCGACTCCATTTGACAGGTATGACAAACATACAGATGATTAACTGCTGGTCCCCCTCCAAACCTACAGTGAGAGTGAAAGAGAAAAGAAACATACCCCCACAACATATTACCCTTGTGAAAAGCAACATGCAAAGAGAATCAAGCAGCTGTTAGATATAACAAGTGGCAGCATGTCATTGAATTCTGATGCATTCCAGTGCTGATCACCCTGACCCACGTAGGCCATCAGTATTTCCTTAATAATATTTGGTACTTGACCCTACGACACAGAAATCTTCCAAGTTCTGACTGTCTAAAGCCAGTACAAACCACCTCTAAAATCCTGCTATAGTCACATACCTCAAAAAGAGTTACTACTGGAAAAACATGTTCRTGAGTGATTACTTCAAATAAGCACTCATATTTACCCAGTGGGATTTATTAAAAGGCTCTTAGAAACAGCTTATGGAAGTACTTCAGCCAGTTCTCAGGCTGGCTTCATGAATCCATCCCGCTTTCCTACACACCAGTTAGACTTTTGAAGATCACGTTATCATTCTAGATTACACCCATCAGTCCACAAGTTTTTGACCGAAATATGAAATGCTATAATCTACATTTAACTGTGGAGTCAAATTGCTTAAAAGGTTATTAGAATTGAATAAAAATATTGCCAGGCAAGCAGCAAAATAAAGTCTGGACTTACATAGCTTGGCAACCTATATATTATCAGCTTTTCCATAGTACTACAGCAGCAAAAGTCAACTTCTGCCATAGAGGCCTTGTTTCTCTCAATATTTTGCTTCTCCACCCTAAATGCTCAGCCACCACAGCCATGGAATGCCACAACTCCCAGCTATCAGCAAGATTAAAAGCAATGTATGGTTGCTTCAGAGCTACTCTATGTTGATACACACACACCACGTGTGCCAGTTCAGAGGCCACACAGAAGAAATGGGCATTTAGTATTTGTATCTCTTTACTAGAGGTCTCCAAAATCTGGAGGTTCCTATCATCTCTAGGACTTCTACTTATCAAATATGACTGTAGTTTGATAACTTACTCAAAAATTTATGGAGAGGAAAAATGAATGAGAAACTTAAAAACATTTTCCTTAAAATTTTATGAGTATTTCTGGTACACACATAAGGGATAATGCAGTTCATTTAATGGATATAGATATTTATAATAATATATATCAATGTTAATATACAAKAACACTAAATAGAATATGTATTATGTATGATGTTCAAATAATAATTTGGAAGAGTTCAGTATATGCAAGAACATGGAAATAAGTAGACAACTACACCATTTTTTTTTCTTGTGGCTACTTAAGCCTTTTTTTTCCTTAAAAAAATATTCTTAGCACTAGCACCTAGGTGTCTGGGAATTAAATAGACAAAAGTAGTTGCTATGAGTGTAATACAGAAACCTTAAGGTCAACAGCTAGGCTCTTCTGCTGCTTTTTTGTTATTTTAAAAGATGAAAGTTTTTTTTTTTTTTTTTTTTAATAAGAATCCCTCCCACAAAAGCAAGCACTTAAACCTGACCCGTAGGGAAGCGCAGAGTAGTTGTAGAGAAGCCTTATATCCAAGCTATTTTGAAGCACGACTGGCAGCTGAGGCTATGGATTCGGAGCCAACATACAGAAAGAGCTGTCTCCAGCCAACAAGGGAACAGGAAGCTGACACAGAGAGCTCTTTCAAGCTACCTCTTGCAAAGCGTACTTTTGTTGACCTACTTTGTTTAGGGTCTGTACAAACCAACACAATGTTTCTCGATTTAGTTCTTGAATATCATCCCAGCAATACACTACTGTTCATGCAGGCTTTTATTCAGAATTACTGCACAAGCAAGTTACATAAATCTTCATTTTGAAAATTTAAGCTACTAATCCCACAAATCTGAAATCATTGCTTGGCACACAGCTGCTCTCAAACTATTATTAGGACTTTTTTCAGTTACATGAAACTTACCTGCTATACAGATTATCCCAAATATTTTGAGGTAGCATTACTACCAGGTCTTCTATGAAACTCGCCTTGGGGGGAGGAACACCTGCAAAAGCAGCAGCAGAAAGAAAAGCCTTTGGATTTTCTTTTTTTTTTCTTTTTTTTTTTTTTTTTGGGGGGGGGGAAGGGGGAGTGGAATTGGAGGGGACAAAGAAAAAGGGGATTCTACTTCAAGAAATTTTGGGAGAGACTACTGTGTTGGAGGTCTCAAAATAATAAAACTTTGACGAGTTCAAAGTAGTCACCCAAAAAAAGTTATCGTATTATATCACCCGCATTTAARAAATTGTTCTTTAAGTTCAGCCTCTTATGATGCCAAAGAAAATTAAGAGAAGCAGCAGTTACATAGATGACTCAAGTAAGAGAAATCCAAGTATCCAAGAAGCCAAAAAGATAAGTTTCTTATAGCTACTATACTCAATTTCCTTTAATTCCTTATACTTTCTGCACAAGCATACAGCCCTGTACAGCTAGAAACTGACAGACAAATTCTGAGTAAATGATACTCAGTTATGTTCTTACCTCCATGCACACAGAGAAAGTCATTATTTGAAATTGGTCCTGGCTCTGCAAAAGTCTTAAATTTATTTAACCACTGTCTGGAAACATAGAACTGAAGAAGACTTGGTTCCATCATATTCAGCAATCCTGATATCCTCCGTCTTTCYCTCTGTGCTTCTTCACTGCTCTTCCTATTACAGGAATAGAAAGCATTAAACAAAGATCAGCGCTTCACTACAGTCACATTTGCCCTAGTTTTGACAGCCATACTGTGGGTACCATCACGTTCACAAGGCAGAACTTTGCTGCCTAGTTCAATTGTTCAGACTCCCAACAGTTCACATCCTTCCTGCCGGCTTCACAAAAACCAAGCAGGTGGACTGCAGCACAGGCTGCAAGCTGCTCTGCTGTGATGATCCTCTCTGGGAGGAGGATATAAGGCTCCCTGCCCATCTGCTCACTTCCTCTGCATATCTGCAGTGTACTCCAACACCCTCCTTCAGGTTAAAGCCTTGCCAGCTGCAGTCCTTTAACATGCTCCTTAGTATCAAACAGAAGGTTGAGCAGTAAAGGAGATGCTGCAATTCCCCTACTCCCTAGTTTGGACAGAATCTGTTCTCTCAAAGCAGGTGTGARCCATTGATCCCATCCTGCAAATCCACTAACCCAGAAGTTGACTCTTAACTGGCACAAATCACTTGATTTATGAAGTCAAAGTTGATTCAAATAGCTGGGTAGAGGAGCTGCAGTTAGACCTAATGGCTATAAGCAAAAAGGCCTACACGGCAAATATACAGTGTTAATGAAACAACAATAAAAGAGTAGTAAAAACAAATGCTATAAGCTCAATGAAAATGTATTACCTGTTTAGCTTCAGACCAAATTTGCTTAAGAAAAACCCTAATGCTGAAAATGAAATTCAAGTAGTTCATTTTCAAGCTGTARAATTAAGAACATACAGGTTCCTACTAAACTTTCATAAAGTCCTGAAAGTGTAGCACCTTGTGTATATTCTTTTTATTTGTTTAAACCAAATGTCCAATTATTTTATTCCTTCTTTTGCTTTATAAAATGTCTGCCTACAACAGTGTTCATTCTGAGCAAGACAGCACCACCTCCACATTCCTTTTAAAAGACGACCTTCTGGATCAGACTAACAGGCTTAACTCAGACATTGGCAGAAATCAGSGCTCCTGAAACTTAAAATACTCACAACATCTTAAATTACTGAACAATCTGTTTTGTTGTCAACTTTTAATAGTAAATTTTATATTAATAGAAGAAATTCACAAACTGAAGAGATTTCTAGAAAATGTAAAATTTTAGTTGCCTTTCTTGCAACTAAGATCCTTAGGACTAAGACAGCAACAACATGACTTCTCGCCTTTCATTTTGGCATTCAGGAAGAGATCAGTCTATGAATTCCCTAAAGATAAATTACAGCACAGTAAAACCCCTCTTGTTCCACATCCCATCTGCTGAAGAGTTTCCACAATTTCCTTTACAGCTCCAACAGTTCAAGTCTGTCTGAGTGAAAAATATCCCCTTGTGCAGGATTCCTTTCCTCTAATTGAAAAAGAGGAAATCAGTTGCCAGTTCTAACAGTTGCTTCACGTTCTCTTCCTAGCCCTCTTACTGTGCTTTCTTTATGCAGACTGAAAATAATCAAAACCCTAACCCATTTCTGAATCTTCACTTAAAGTTCTAAACATGTTCAAGAACACTGAAGCCACTTTAACTGGCTACATTAATAAAATTCAATAAAAAAAGGGAAAAATACTGAAACCAAATTTCATAATATAACACTTTTCCACTCTTTTATTGTCATTCAACATTTCKGCTGTACAGCACTAGTGATCTATGCAGCCTATTACAAAAAGTGRTTGTTAAGCTGCTTGAGGAGGAGCAACTCAGGCAATCTGTCCAGAAGTTCAGTAGTGACAGAAAAAGCATTAAGGACATATTTGAAGTCTCTCTCCACTGTTTCTGGTCAAATTCTTCCCTTAGCTGAATGAAAACGGCCTAGTTGCTTAACAGGCCRTTAACATATTTGACTAACTTTAATTATAAACTGTGCTTTTAATCAGCTCTTACCTGTAGAAGAGGACATAGGCTTCTGCGTTTTGCACAGTGGATTCAGATACTTCTGTGACGCTCTGGTCATCAAATTCATACCACAAGTTATTTAAATTGTTCCGACAATAAGCTATATAATGTCCACCTAGAACATTAAAAGTCAGAGTTAAAAGTGTTTATAAGCAACTCAATTTACTATGCAAAACATGAAGGGAAAAAAGTCTTTTAAAGGGGAGAAACTTAAAATCATTACCAGACAGTACTTGGCTATACATACTAACTTCTCACAGATTCTGGATCAAATTCTTCTACATTCTTACCAGCTAGTGAGGAGCTTCCATGATATACTGACTATGAGCAACTTTATAGGTCTACCACATGTCACAGAACACTTAAGTCAGACTAAGGCTGACTTGAACAATTCACCCTAAGTAGTTTCTATAACCTCTTCATTTCTTTCTATGCATTGTAATAATCACAKTGGTATAAGTACTACAGGATTTCAAGACATACTTAATGGTTGGTAGCGTTAATAAATAATAATTTCAAATGTATTATGACCAATTGTATTAAGTACCAATTAAGCTGACAATATTTAATAATCAAATATCTACTATATTAATTGATTCATCTAAGACATCTCTACTCTTTAAGGACAGATCTTATGGTTTAAGGTAAAAATCCCAAAATCTATCACATTTAAAATTAAGAATGCATATCTACTTACCCTTCACTACATAAATATTATCTTTAAACAGAAGTGCTRATGTTAATATCTAGGTGAAATGCAAAACCATCAGTCTCACACTTACTGCTGGCAGTTCCATGATGGCAGATGACAGATAACAGATCATAAGTCACTATTTGAGCAGGACTGTCCTTAGCAAGGAAGGGCTGAAGATCAAGTCCCTCCAGGGGAAAGGATACGTGAGTCCCAATTTTTGTGGAAAACATAAGTTCATGTCTAAATCTTTTGAGATGAATGCACAGTATCTGCAAGGAGCAACAAGATCTGGACTCAAGATTTGTACATGCCATTTGATAAACATATGTACATACCATCTTTCCATCATCCCAAAAGTTTAGTTTTTCTCTATTGCATGARGCAACTAGTCACACACTGTGTTCCTTAGCTTTTTAAATCAACTGAGGCTCAATCAGAAATTTTTCTGAGACTCATTGAGMGCGCAAGAGACAGACCTACACAGTTATTAATACTAATGCAGCAAGGAAGGACATACCTTTTCTCGTCCTCAAGGCACCTATTGCACAATCTTGTCGTGATGGAAAGTAATTCCTCCCAACTGCTGCAGCCATCAAATTATCTTTTCAAGTGTAAGATTTGATTACTTTTAAAATGCAAARTGTTACTTGTCAAAAGTGTTAGGTTTCACTATATTATTTCATCCTATGTTAAGGCATAAATGAGTTCTGCAGTCTGACAATAACAGGAAAAAGTCTTCCAGCTTGAMTTTTCCCTACGATTGTTCACCTTTCTATAGGGTACATTATCAAATACTGCTTACACTTGTAAAACACCCATCAATATGTAAATGTTTCATGATGTAATGCTATGAACACAATTTACTCTGTGCAACTTATAAGCCTTACCACATTCCTAATCATGCAGAAAAAGTGTTTTAAAGTGCACATAGTAACAGTACCTCAGGAAACTTTTGCACTTTGCAGAATTTAACTCCATTTCTTAACCTAAGTTAAAAAAAAAAAAGTGATTTACTTCATTGCACTAGATCAGCAAGAGACATGACAAAGTCTTAAGCTGAATATCAAATTTGTAAAGGCAGAATACTTCTGGAATGCAGACTGGGCATGGAGTAGCCAAACTACACAAATAATTATGCTTTGGAAGAAAGGAATTTGCTCATCTGAAAAATACAATCTGTAGCAACAGCTACAGATAATTAACTTCCATCTAGCTAACAGTTTCTCCTAGCATACAGCAAACAAACTGAAGCTTCATAGAAGCTGACTATTTGGAAAAGGAGAGAAAAAGAAAGAAAAACACATACACATACTCCACATGCAAAACACCAACACACACAACCTAACCAAGTTTATCTTAAGAAATATACAACAGATCAGTTACGTAGCAAGAAATGATGCTTCTTTTCCTATCAGGCTTTTAAGCAGTTTTCAAAACTCTCGCTTCTTTAGTCTATTAAAGCCACAGCATAACCTCTACAAAGTCAAGTGGACTACTGCATCTTAATGAAAACCTGCTAGTATTCCTATCTTGATCAAAAGAATTTAGAATAGTCCAGAATTGTATGGGACAACAGAAGTGACCACATTTGGTTTATAATCGAGTACTAGGAGTCAGTTTCCAGCTCCTGAACCTTAGTTAATAATGGCAACCATAGCACAAGGCGGTATCAGAAGATTGCCAGGTACTACAACATGTTCAGAAGAAATAAATGCCTCAGATAACAGCAAAAAACAAAAAAAAAGACAAATTGAAACAGAGATAAAAGCCAGCTTACTTTTTACACTTTCCACAACTGTACATGTTATCACCTGCAAACATAGGGGAGAAGAAAAACAGACATTATTTTTCAGAACTGAGGAGATATCCTTCCAGTTTATATATCAGCYACATAATAATTAAGAGGATTTGTGTCTTTATGTTTCATTCAGTAACTAATTTAGTATTTAATTGCTATAAGAGTATTGACACTGCAACTTAATAGAAGTTGTTCTCAACTCTGCTTTTTTTGTTGCTTTCTACTATGAAACAGCACAGCATATTTCAGAAGAGAAGATGCTATATAGTTTAAAAAGTAAAATTTACTACATCTCTATAAAGATATGAGGAGTATTGATAGCTTTCTGTCAATATTTCATTAAGTCAAATTCAGTTTCACCTGACATTTCTAAAGTAGCCTTTATGGGCATTTCTTGACACAATACTCAGTTGCTTGGATACTTGCCTTTTTTAAAATGAATGGTCCCATAAGCAAGAAATAATTATGTTAGGAGTCATATAGGTGGCCATCCCTTAATTACATAAAGCAAAGATCTTTTTATCATGATTGAAAAAAATAAGCACATTAATGTAATTAACCKCTTACCCTTGAGCTCATCTCTGGCGAAAAAGGCAGCAAGACAGTCTTGCAAGTTTACAACTGGACCCCAAAACCAGCTAGGAACACATGAGACAACAAACCTGAAACATCATTGACAGAAAAGAAAACAAACAACAAATGTTCTGCCAAAAGAGCAGAATCTGGAATTAGAAAAATAATTAAAGAAGGCGAAAATCATTTACCTTTTGAAATATTCCATAAAAAATGCTATCCATCCTTGGGGTGCATATGCTTCTCCGCATGATCCTGCCTTGACTAGTGAAGTCTGATGACTTGCAGAATGKAGCTTAGCAAGATCTTCCTTACCTGGAATAGGCAAAGACAGATCCTGAAAGGTCTCCAGGGTTACGGACACCTAAAGCAAGGAACAAATGAAATAGAAGAGAATTAAGAGACAAAGTAATTAGATTGAATTCTGTAAAGGTCAAAAACAGCTGCCAAGCTGTTGTGTCAAACTTCATTAGGTAGCAAACTAGTTATCAATCAGGGTATGTTAGAGTTCATGGCCTGGGGTCTGGGAGGGAAATGAGAGAATGCACGCACATGCAAAAGCAACTGAGCTCATACATTACCATCACTGAAACTTTGGTTATTTTGTTATGCTATTATTAATCACTTTTCTTCATACCAGTGATACAGAGCCCTAAGATTTTTGCCTCAGGTCCTTGTTATGCAAGCTAGTTTCACAAGGCTTCAGCCTATCGTTCTGACAGTATTTCACTGCGACATTATCTTGACTTGATGCAACTGGATCTGCTGTCAGAGACTGTCTATTCCCCCAGATGCACATTTTATTTCTCTCAGGCTGGATTTAGCGATCAGAGTCACAGGATAAAGCAGTCAAGCAAAACAACAACACACTTCCCATATGCTTACCAGCTGAACCTAGGGTCTCAACATTATTAAATCAAGTGAAGTAGCAAGAAATACTATACCACAATAAGGTGAACATTAATAGTACCAAATATTGCATAAAGAAGTTTTTGTTTGTGGTCAAGGAATATCATTTATGCTGAAAGTGATATAGTATCTCATACATTCTTATATTTTTCTTTTCTCTAGATGCTCATTTGTGCTATTCTAGTACTTCTACTAGCAAATAGTACCCCCCAAAAAAATTACTGTTCTTGTGACAGGGAACATCATCCAATAGAAGACTGAACTTCAGAAACCAGTTTACTTGGAAAAATAGAAACCATAGCACTTGGAAAAATCCAGCCAAAGGCATCTTTTTAAAAGGGCTCGTTTTCCCCCCGCCCTCAACCTCTATTTACTTGTAGGAGTGATAGAACTGAACTACCACATTTTGGTTTTCTTTGCAACATTATTTGCTACAATTTAGCACAGTAACATACATATAGTAGGAAAAAAAAAATCAGAATATTACAGAAAACTTATCATACCTAAGAGAAGCTGAAGAGCAACTTTCATACTTCAACCTTGCCATAAAATGACTCTCAGTTATTTTTCATCTCTCTGTTAGTTTTTACCTGAATGAAAGCAACCTAGTCTACATATAAAATGCTGGCAGCAGATCCTATTAGAATCTAAGTAAACAGGTATGAAACAGCCTCATCTTTTGAGGAAATYTGTTAGAAGACATAACAGATTACTGGGAAGGCCTATATCCTTAAAGCCAAAAATATTTGTACTGGAGGGTAGGAGGGGAACAAGAACACCCACACAAGAAACACGCTCCTTCCCATCCCCAACTCCTTACTCACCCGATCACATGTCAAGCACTGTACTGAGCTTATTATAGTCCCATCAAATATGTCAGAGATAACACTCCTGTACTTCTTGCRTTTCTTCCTTTTTGGTGAAGACACAGTTGAAACTAGTATAAAATGACAAAAACGAAAACAATCAAGATATGAGAAGATTTGGATTTCCTTAAACTTTGCAGAATATTTAAAGATGCCACAACCTTAAGATTATGAGACAAGCTTTCTTTTCTCTTTAGCAAAGATTTCCAGAGATTTCACTACTAGATTACTGCTACTTCCAGGCAACCTATCTCAATTCCTCAAGCAGCTTATAGAGAAAGACTAGGAAATGTGGCCACTGTTCAACTGAATAAAACTCAAACTGCTAGTCTTAAAATCCATTACCTGGATTCCAGCCTACTACTATCAGATTAATCTCAGCACTAGCCCCTAAAGTATTAATTTAAATAGGCAGACTTTATCTGACATGTAATTAGGTCTCATTTTTTCCTTTTTGTGTCAGGAAGCTGAACTTAGAAACCACCTTAATGCATTCATAACAGTGGGCTCAAWGTAAACCAAACTATCAGACTAAATGCATGACCTAAATTTAAGCCACTGATTAAAACAAAACAAACACCACACAAGCCCCAAATCACCCTCCATCCTCTGCTAATTAAGCAAAACAGAGCAGCGTCTTGGGCTCCACATGCTTTCAGAAGTGAGACAGAAAAAGACTGCAAACCCTCTGCCAACGTCAGTGTGTTACCCAAGAGACTGCTCAGAAGTCCTGTAGGAGTCAGAAGCAACCCTTGCCAAACTGCTATCAGACAGGAAGGAGATATGCAGTGAAACATGGAATTAATTACAGTGAAAAGGAAAGTAAACTCCAATAAACTTTTCATAAAAACACAATCTCCCAAGGCTTCTTTACAGAAAAGCAGTCTGCCCGTTAGCAAAACACCCACAGCTCTCTGCTCTCCAGCCATATTAGATATTCTCTATCTTACTCCTACCTAGAAAACTGTCTACAGTATTAAAAAAAAAAAAATCTAGATTTAACAGTATCATCAACAAAGAAGAACTGTTAGGAATAAACTGAAAATCCTCTTCCATGACACATCAGATAATATATTATTTAGCACGGACACAAGCCACCTTATATTGCCTTTTGTCCAACGTGCTGCAAGGTTCCTTCCAAATTTTTATTTTGCCAGTACATGGCTTTAAGATACCTTTAAAGCTTTCATTTGCCAGTGATTTYGGAGATGTGTTTTATCTATCATGATTCATGCTAAAAAATAGCAAGAAAAAAGGAAGACAGACAAGAAGGAACGTCTTAAAAACAGTGACCAAAAAACATCATTTGCAAGGAAGAAACAGAAGAGAACAAGGGGATAGCTGTATTTGATTAGGTAATTACGGGATAGCTGTATTTGATTACGTAATTATGTGTCATTCATAAGTTCAGCACAAGAAATAACGAAAAGCTTGTGAGCCTGCAAGTGGCTGCCCCACTACTTTCCTACTCACTTCCGCTTCATATAGTTTTCTGCTCTCTCAATACGAGCAGGAACAGGTTGTTGGGAAGTGGCAAAAGTCAGAATAGTTGAGGTTGGTAGGGTATCATCAGCTCTATCCCTGTTCAGAGCAGTACTAGTTCCAAACAGTAGGAAATCCACCTCTGAAGATGGATATTCCAAAACMTCTCTGGTCCCCTGTTGAAGTACTCAACTAGTCATTTCAAAGCCTTTTTTTTCTTTCCGTCGAATGGAATTTTTCCTTACTGYATCTTCCCTCCATTTGTTGTGTGGCTTCATGCACAGGCTGGCTCTGTGTTCTCTATAACCATCCATTAAACAGTTGGTGAAAAGAAGATTCCCCTTTCGGATTGAACAAACCCAGCTCTCCCAGCCTCTCCTTGTGCATCACAGCCTTCAGTCATCTAACATCYTGGTCATCTTCCAGTGCTGCATTGCTACACAAGCAGCAAGGAATAAAAATGGAGAAGAAGAGTGCTCCAGATCTGAAAGCCTGCTCCACAGAGGTTAAGATGCAAGAAACAAAACAGATGTTGTAACTCAGTTTTAACAGRGGATAAAAGTGTCAATACCTTTTTTGTGGGCTGGTGCCAGGGATGGGCACGATGAGCATGATTTTGGAGGACTGCCTGATAAGTGTGCATTTATCCCTTCATTTGGTGAGAGGTTCTGGACTGTAGATAAATCATTCGTGTGGACATCACTGATGTATTCTGCAATTAATATTTGCATTATGTTATAAATTATTTCAAAATAYCGTAAGAATAAACTATGATTTGACTATGAACTGACACAAGTCAGTTATCTACGCTGGCAGATCACTGGACATTTACAAATGCAGTATGACTTTAGTTCACATAAAGTTAAACCGAAACAAGAAAAATCCCCCTCCCCTCTAGGTTATCTGAAGTCTTGCCCACTACAAATCGTTGGCTTTCCAGGTAAATTCAGAATGGATTAAAAAACATGTAAACTGAAGATAAATTAAGAAAGTGCATTGCTTACAGGTAAACCCACTTACTGCATTCTAGAACCCGTTTCCACYGACAGTCCCATCAGTTCACAGTGCGACTGTTTCATGTGCACATCAGTGACACCTTACCTGAGAATCTGCTGTGTATCTGTACTTTGACAGTTCCTTGATTATTTAATAATTCAGTGGTTTCCGAAGCAATATTTACATCTTTTTCTAAGTCTTCCATAGAACTTTCTTCGTTAAGCTTGTTGCACAATGCTTTTTCTTTCTGCCAATCTTTGGACACAACGGAGATGTTCTCATCATCCTGAATTAACATAGCTGTCTCTGTAGGATCCTCTAAGACAGGTTTGAAGACAGACTCGTTTTCTGATTTATCATTTGTACCATGGGTTTCACAAGGCTGAAAGCCTATATCTGACGGACTCTTGTCTCCTTCCATACTTTCTTCAACACTCATAGGTTGGGCATCTTCCACTTCTACAACAGGCTCTTTTAGTTCTTCATGAAGTAAGTCCATTAGACAACGCAAAAATTCTTGTGCATCCTAGGATTTAAGTTAATTTTACAATTTATATTTTATTTATATTAGGAAAGAGAATGAATAACTGGAATGAAAGCTACAGCTGACAAATAAAAGAATAGGGCAAGCTCCCCTGCCCCTAGTCTAAAGGGCAAAAGAAACCTGATTTTTTGAGAACATGTTCCTGCATTYATTTCTGATGTATCACAAGGAATCTTGAATATCAACACAAGTTTCCTCCTAAACACTTCTTCTGCTAACAAGCTTTTCTGGCAACTTTGACAAAAATACTACAGATCKACATATTTTAAGCACATAAACTTCAACGTTTCAACACACGTTAATGTTGAAACTGTTTCAGATGAACACAGGAAGCAGGATAATAAGACTTAATTTAAAAACAAAAATAGCCTTATGAAACAACAACATAGCTTTTACCTGTTGAGAATAACCTCGAAACGTTGGATTAACTGTTTTAATTCCTTGAAATAAACCAGTGGGAACAACAGAACCAGGCCTAAGTGGAAAGAAAAAAAAAAAAAAAGGAAAAAAGAGAAAGAAAGCATTTAAGTGATTTTTCCCATCTTTACTGTAATCATAATTTTACCTGAAAATGAACTATGACAAATTAACGGCTTAACAACAACCTTGGTCAAATATTAGTATTCAGTTATTTGTTAAATAACTGTTTGTTATTTAATAACTAATACTAAAAATAACTAATTTTTCAAAGAGGAGCAAAGACTATATTAGCCATTTTTATTAGACATAGTATTTAAGGTTCACAGCATCCAACTGCCTCCAAGATAAAGAATCAAACACTCTCCATGCTAGGCAGAACTACCAGTTAACTGTTTTATAAGTCAATTTTWAAAATAATTTCTTAGAGATAAATACCATGCAAGGAAAAGCAATTGATAAAGCACAGAATATGGAATCAAGGAAAAGGAAGACAGATCTAAAATACATAACTATTGTACTTCTTAAGGATATAAATTTGTTTTTATGAGCTCAAGGTTACAGTGTACAATGTTTATTCATGTATTCATGTATTGTTGTAATTTTTAGCAAGGATGGTCTATCAATTATTTGTGCTATCTTTGGCACATATGGAAGAGAACTGACTAGGATTTACAGTATTTATATCCTCTTTAGTTTTTCTTTTCTAAAGCAAAAGTCTAACCATTTCAACTCTTCCTTAAAGATAAGTGTTTCTCCCACAAAATTTTCTTACTGAAATGGACCTTTATTTCCCAAACAGCAGGTACCAGTCCTTTYAGTACAAACTTTTAATTTAAATTAGTAATTCTGTGATGCAGATGAGAAAAAAAGAATACATCTAGGACAGACTAATCCATCCTAATACAGAGTCCGTTTTATTTATAACCTTTTCATCACCAGAATGATGCAATACCTGCTTTTGTGCCAGAGTTCTGTCATCAGCTTGAGGTAACTTTTACAAATTGCAGGTTTCTTATCTGTTCTGGCTAAGGCTCCACAATCAAGAAAGAAGTGTGTCAAAGGTGGGCTGATTAAAAAGAGGGGGAAAAAAGATTGTTTGCACATTGTTAAAATACAAGAGAAAAACTGCATTTTGTACAAGATATTATTCAAGAGTAATAACTACTACATAAATTAACAATTTAGTTCCTAGGGTTCTCAAATGCTGTAGCCAAGGACAACCTTGCTGGTAAAGCAGCTCTACTCCTTAAAACTTATCCTGACGTTTGTTAGGACACCCAAACTGTCCAACAGGATTCAAATTCAGGGCAAATTCTGATGTCCATCAGAGAAATACACATATACCTTCATGGCAACAGTCACCACAAGCCTAGGCTGTAAATAGATGCCAAAAATCTTTTTACTAGCACCTGGCACTGCCACATGATGTTTCTAGGTAAACAACATCTCTTATTATTTGTAATGTTTACTTCATCACATGTTGCCAGCTCTCACTTTCTCTCCCCACCCTTTGGCAAGTCAATTCACCTTGCACAAKTTGAACTTATTTTTTATACAAAAGATAATATTTCAGCATATTGCAAACTTCAGTATTTCTTAGACTAGATGCTTTATATCACTTCATCTTCTAGAGAAGGGTAAAATTAAAGCATCAGTATTTCCCCCAGGTCTCCTCTTCCTAAGCATACATTTTCTGTAAGGTCTATTGAAGTTTGCCCTGTCTTGAATTGCAGTCAAAGCAGTTGTATACAGTAAAAATATACGTGCTTAAGTATTGTTCTAAGCCTCTAATAATCTGCAGTACAAAAAAGAAAAGAAAATTCAGAGTTGGATTGCTTTAGAGACTATTAGATAGGCCTTAGATTTCTCCTTCATAAACGTGTACAATATCTCCAAGCAAGGAGCTGATATTGTATCCAAGACACTCCTAAGACAATTTAGCATCGTTTTCGACATTCCAGATGCAGAGTAGAAAGTACTGAATTTGGACCTTTTAAGATTAACATATCTTTTTTATAATTAAGAGTTCATGCTTAGATACTTTCTTTGATTTCTTATGCTAAGAGGAGTGGGAAGAAAAAAAGCAGCTTGTTTTTGAAGCATTTGGCCCTTTTGTGTTTGTTTTAAAGTCAGCGTTTCTTCTGATTTCTAGAACTGCATGTGTCTTTGAGGATACTGAGAAAACAGAATGAATGTTTCCTTCAGAAACAGAAGGAAACCATGACTACTCCTTATCCCATAATACTTGATTATATAGGTAACACTAGTGTTTGTAGCATGCAAGAATAAACTTTAACAGAAATAAATCCTCTTCCCACTTCCTTGGTAGCCAAGCTCTTCACGATYTGTAACTCAGAAAATGTATGTGTATGCAAATGTAAGATTACTTGTATATCCATTTTCCTCACCAGTTGGAAAGCGCCTGTAAAGCTGCATTCATATAACATGTGTTTCCAATATTTTTTAATCCTGTAAGACCTGAAAAATAATTAATATTTAGCAAGCCTAAGTTAATACAAAGTCATATTAAGGAATAATTCCTAGTAGACACATAATAATTAAACTGTGTTAACTGGTTTTTCATGTCCATTGGCACACAAAGGTGTAACTAGAAGAAACAAAGAATGATATTCTTTTTAGGGATCCTATCTAGAAAAATTAGCCAGTATTTTGATTTGACTGACTAAAACACTTCAGAAAAGTAGATTTAACTTGCAAGATTGAGAGTTGCAGACTGCTATTTTAAAAAGCATTTATCAGTAATATATTTAAGCTTTTCTTAAGCTTAAGAACTCGGCTGGACTGGTAAATCATTTCTGTGCTGTGTTCATAACAACTCAACATACTATCAAAGACTTTTAAAGCAAGTTTTCAATCTTCTGTTTAAAGTCCATGCTAACAGTTAAGATTAGATTATACATTCAAAATCTATTAGCCCAGAACTGAAGACTTAATTAACTTACCATCAGTCTCTTTCTACGCAGACTAAATACCCGAATCTTTATAGAAACTGTTCRGTTTATATTACCCCAAGAACTAATTTTGTTTACTTTCTTTAGCGATAATTGCAAATGCTTTTCCATACACAAGTTACAATTAACAAACTCGTTCAATAACTACTGCAACAAATACAGTCACTAAAAGCATTCTCTAAACATCTGTAGAGAGGCTATTCAGACAAGCCCCAAGTAGAGCACTATCTCAGCTCAACGAAAAAAATCACCCGGAACACTTGCTATTGTTAGCCACTGCATCATAAAAACAATCAAGTAATTAATTTCAAAATAAATTGSTGTTGTCCAAAAAAAGCAAAGGAACATTTATGAGCATAGAATCACTATCTTAGTTACTATAACTGGGAAGTTTAGAGCACGTAGTAATAAACACCATTAGCTACCTTTAATCCTGTAACACAGGAACAGCTTCTGATCATTTTAGTCCATGATAACAAGTAAAACATACTACAAAAAAATCCTTTTACATTTTAAGAATAACATTTATAAAATATTTACTTCAATTGAATTTCCTACCTAATATTCAGAATATAAGCAATAAAGTACTGAATTTTGCTTGTATTACCTCTAGTCTTCAACTCATCTTCTTCCACTTCTACATCTAGATCATCAAATACAGCTGCTAGTGGAATCTTCAGTACAGGATTACTAGGTATTTTAAAGTCCTTATCAAAAGAGAAAAGTAGATTTATCGGTACATATTTTCTTTCCTCTCAAACTTCAGTATAATTCCAACAAAAAAAGAAAAACTAAAAAATGTTATGAATGAGAACTGCATTTTGAAAGCTCATTTAWCAAAGTGAGATTAAAAGGATTCCACAGCTACATGAAGGAAATTTACTAAGATGAAAAAGCTTTTGTTTTCAGACTAGCAGTGACAAGATTGCACCATTTAAAGATGACAGTTGAAGAGAGTAAAAACAAAGTTATTATAATATTTTCCTTCCCTTTGATAACAATCAGCAAGCCAGCACTGCAACACAGCAGTCATCACTTAAGGATTAGTTAAAGTTAGTGCTTTTCATTTGCTACCAGATGTCTCACTAAATTCGAAGACAAATCTCCAGGAAGCAAAACTTACAGATAGGGAAACAGAGTATTGGGCAGGCAAACATTTATTGCCTGACAAATTCCTGTGAGCATAAAAATAGAAATTCTAAACAGAATACAAGACAAGATGTGCATGTTCCACTTTTTTTCTGGGAATTATACTTATTTCCTTAGTAGATTAAAAGAAAATAGCACAGGGCAGAAGGGAATTAAGCCTGGAGCCATTTTTATATTCWTTCAGAGTTCCTGCTAAACAGAAATTAAAGATACATATGTCACAGTACTATTCCAATTTRGAAGCTGACATTTTGAGGTAATTATCAAATTCTGTTCATATTGAATTTATATTGAACTTTTCCTCTCCACTTATTTTAAGCATCATATTGAAAAACTGCCAATCTGTTCCATAGCTCTACATCCAAAGCAAGACATATTAAGAAATGCTTCACTACTATTTGTGTCAGTTTTAACCGAGTCAACAGTCATTTTTATGCATTCACTTCATTTCATTTTATCTTTCATTAAAGATTCAATGATCTTTTGATATAAACATCATGCCAAACAAGTCTGACAAATTGTCAAAAATAAAGCGAACCATACTTGACTTGTGAGCCTTCACAAGCATTAGTAACAGAGAAGATTAAAAAAATACACTTGAAGATGCAGAAGGACAAGACAAACATCTTATTCACAGAATTGAATTAGTCTATTTTAGTAGTCTATTTATTAGTCCATTAGTCAATTTTAGGTCTAAATTTTACTTTACAGTATTCATGTATAATATTTGTACGTCAAGGAAAAGAATATGGTCAAAACATACTAAAGCATTTGCCACTGCATGGGAATTAGACTTGTAATGACTTTTATAGCTAAGAAGTTTAAGAGCTGACAGAACGGCAAACAGAGCTGAGCTATTGCAACCTTCAGCCTTAAAATTAACTCCGTGCTTTTTCTGTACTTTGCAACTTGTGGTCAGTTTAAAAAAAAAAAAAAAACATGGACAGTAAGATCAAAAAACATTCTTAGGAAGTATGCAGAGAATGCGTCTGCTCTGCAGAGAAGTGTTAAAAGTATAGAAAGCACAGACAAAAAAAAAAGAGTTAGCCTCTTACTCCACAAGAGACCTGTACAAGTTTTTACTTTACTGCAAAGTAAAAAATTTTTACTTTACTGCAAAGCTTCAGGTGCCTATATATTTTATTGGTTTAAAAATACCTGCACACTGTTTTCTTGTGCTTGGTGAGACAATCTTGCATTTGGTAGCAGAGAGTGAGATCCTAATTTTCTGTCCAGGAATACTTCCTTACTGCAGGCATAACACCAAACACGGAGCGTAGTAAGGTTGACAGTTAGACAGTGTTTTGTTTCCTAAAACAGAACAAAAGCCAAGAATGTGATACAGAAATATATATACAATGCTATATATAAAGCTAGAACAGAATTACTAAACAGCTGTGTCTCAACAATGAAATAAATGCATGTTAGAAGATAAAAAATATTACCAAATCATTACTGAAAATACAACATTTTTAGTACAGGACACTCAGACTAGCAACAAGCTGCAATCACAATGAATGTAAGCTATAGTCATAATCGAAATGCCTCTGAGTAATTTCAAAAATAAGAACAGTCTGCTGTCAAACGTGCTAAAATTTACAAGAAGCCCATTTTCTAGGAATATCTATGAATGGCAACAGTGACAGGTTCCTCAAAAGCAAGAATAGTGCTTAATTTTGCATGTTTGCTGTAGGAAAATCAAGTTACTGTCTTTTTACCAAAGAGGCAAGATGAGTAAGATTTTTAGTTYGGTTCTAGTTAGAACCATTTACATCAAGATAGGCACTCATTCTGGACTCGATTAGTTCTCTTGAGAGTTTCATACTGTGGAGCTTTATGAAAGTTTCATAGATTGAGAATATTTTTACTTTTATCTTTCTTTCATCTAACTCTTAGAATCTAACTCTTGCTTACTGCAAGATTCTGCACACAGTTGCTATTACCCTCCAAAGATTTGCAGCAATCTTTACTGCATCTTTTTCTTATATGAAGGCACCAGCTACGTTTGCAGGCAACAAGGAATCAGCTAGAACTTATCAAAGTGCTACTACTGCTGCAGATGCCCACCTTCTTCCTCCCCTCATTTAGTAAGACCTTGTTTAAGAATTCCATTTAGGCAAAGTCAGTGATTCTAAAGAGACACACAGAAACTGCCAMCCCTCTGCCTCCAGCAGATGAAGCAGGGACAGCCTGTTCACTTCACTTCGGCACACAGCACTAGCACCCGCGTGTGTGCAGAGCAAACTGCAAGAGCATGACCCAAACAGATGCACTGCAGCTGTCCAGCCATGCCAGAACTTGCCAGGTTAGGAACACAGTGCACACACTCCACTGCTCCTACTTAATGAGTTCCAGGATCAGCACTTTGCAGGAGAAGCCACTCTCAGCAGGGTCTACAATGTTTTCATCCATAGCCACTGAAACAGGGAGCACAGCAGAGAAACAAGCCACCTATTTCACTAAGCTACCTTTCCTCCTCTTCGCAATGAAGGAAGCCACTGCAAAGGTTCACTACAACCCTCCTTTATAGAATAGAAGTAGTCTGATCCATCAGGCAAATATGTTTCCGAAGAGTTGGACTATAGCTGAGGCACTTTTCAGTAGGAAGATTTTTGTTCAAATGCAAATCTTACATCTTAGAGATTACCACTATCTATTGTTTTTCTTTTTTTATTTCATCATGTTCTTTTAGGGAACAGAATAATCTCAGAATCACAGAAATAATTATAAAGCCACACAAGGATTATAAATTTAAACTCTCAAATCTAAACTCTCAAAGTTATATTAAGACATTAATTGCTACACAAAATTTTACTCAGCTAATGCTAGTACAGGTTACTGATTTCACTAGCTAAAGAAAGTTCTCTAATTTTACTCCACTCCTTCAAGCAAGTGTATTACTAGCARTTACACATACCTGGGAATGGGTAGTACTGTGATCTACGTGGGATTCACCACAGCCAACATATGAGCATCTGTTCTGTTGAGCAAGAAATGGAAGAAATTATACAGAATCACACTGATGTCAAACAATTTACAGAGCAGCAAAACTATGTCAATCCCTTTTAAATTCATTATTTCAAACTTGCAAGGTCCTACACAAACCAAGAGACACACACAGTAAGTGTTAAAATAAATCCCATCTAAAGCAAACTTTAGAATGCTGCAAGATTCAACTCAACTTTTTCCACTGGTGGGCAACATTAGGCATGTAACGCTCCTGGATTTGACCATTTTGATTTTTTCATTCAGATTAAGGTCAATCAATGTATTTCACTGTTTTTTAAACCAACTAATGTTTAGTATAGGTCTTGATAGAACAAAGTTGACCAGTGTCTAAACTGCTGAATTGCGACAGACCTGAAGCATTACGCATTTACATGAAAATGTCTGCATGCCAACATCCACAGTGCCCACTGACCAGAATATTACTTTATAATTCATTAATTTCTATCTTTTATATAAAGGTTTCAAACACTGTAGGCTTAAGTATTACTAAATTTCAGTCACAATTATGTAAAATTGTCAATTTTAATTATTTTAATAACAAATTTATTTGGCCAAGTTGAGCACAAAACCTTGCAGCTGCCAGTCTTACACATCTCCACAGCATCTTCATTAATTTTTCATTTGCACAAGACAATCACATAGAAGGATACAGAATGTTATTTGTGTAACTGAACACATTAATTTATACAAACTGCAGTTGTACACATACAGTAAATTAATTTTTCTGTATTAAGCTACTACAGACACTTGTTAAGTTACAAATATTTATCATGCTGGGATCTCACCATGTGGTGGTTGTTTTTCTACGCACAAAGATGAAGGCGAGATGCCAATTCATCCAAGAGGAGATATAACACAGCGTGACACTTGAAGTGCCTTACTGCAATTATAAAACTGCCCTACGGGAATATTGGTATGAAATTAAGTTTTTGATTAACAGTTCAAAACTACTAAGTGAAAAATAAGAAAAAAAAAAAGTTGGTGCAAAACCAGCTTTAAGCTTTATAGTTTTTAGCTACCTACTAGCTTCATGAATCCCTCAACTTCTTGCTATTTCCTGAAAAGGCTTTTTATATATATATACACATATATATACACATATATATATACACACATATACATATGTATACATATACATACATATACATATATATATACACACACACAAAACTTTAAGCTATTTATTATCAAAATAATACGGCTCAATTACTCCCCCTTCATTTTTTTAAGCATCTTTGATAGAAGAGATAGAAGAAAAAAAAAATCTAACCTCTTTACTGCTACAACCACCCACTTGAGAAAAGAGACTTAAGTTTTTGAAAATACTCATACACCTACAGGTTGGTCTCAGCCTAAACTTCCTCATGGCAGGACTTAGCTTAGAAAAGCACTGTCAAGAAACACAGGCATCCCCTACAGAGAAAATACCAAGCTCTGAAACTGTTGTATATCTGAAGAATTCAGATTTGTACACAAATCAGAAAAGTATGAAGAACATTTATTCATGTTTCAAAACAAAGTGTTTCTTTGTTTTACCTAATGACCAAGAGGTTGTAGCATACAATTTTACACTAAAAATCAATAAATAAAAAGGAACATTTACTGCTAGCAGATGATATTACCACCACTGTTAAGAGAAGTTCAGAAAAAACTTAATTTGGGAGTGATAAATTTAATGGTCTTCAAATATATTAAATAAAAGAGAGAAAAGAGACTTTAACTCAAGAAAGAATTTTAAAAATGCTAACTTCTTACCAAAAAAGGATAATTTTGGAATGGAATTAGGGAATTAGGGAATTAGGGAATGGAACATCTCTCGTATGAAGAGAGGCTGAGTGAGCTGGGCCTTTTTTCTCTGGAGAAGAGACGGCTCAGAGGGGATATGATTAATATGTATAAGTTCAGGAAGGGAGAACGCAGGGAGGAAGGGGACAAGCTGTTCTCACTGGTGGCCAGCGATAGGACGAGGGGTAATGGCCACAAGCTGAAGCATAAGAAGTTCCGTCTCCAGGTGAGGAGCAACTTCTTTACTGTTAGGGTGACAGAGCAGTGGAGCAGGCTGCCCAGGGGGGTTGTGGAGTCTCCTACTCTGGAGGTCTTCAAAACCCGCCTGGATGCCACCCTGTGCCACATGCTCTAGGTGTGCCTGCTTGAGCAGGAAGGTTGGACTAGATGATCTGTAGAGGTCCCTTCCAACCTTAAATATTCTGAAATATTCTGAAATTCTGAAATAATTTTAAAAACAAAGTTTTTACACTACAAAAAAAAGAATATCTGATATTAGGAGTCAAACTGATTTGGAAATGGTAAAACTGGGCAATAATTACTTTTTTGAAGTCTCTATCAGAACATTTTGTTACAGTTGCTTATTCAAAAGCATTACGTTACAGCTTACTAGAGAATACAATACAACTCACTAGAGAATACAATACAACTCACTAGAGAAGCACAGTCTTCTCTGAACAGACCAACTCACCTCTAAGCATGCCCAAAGGTTGGGTCCTCCAACTTTACAGTCCTGACAAGTGCCCTGTTAAGTTAAGCACATAAGCCAGCAATTACTTCATTTACTTTCACCAACTAAGTGTAACTTGAAGACAAAATGACAGAGGGGAAAAAAAAAAACTAAKCATCACAAGTTAAAGGAATGCGTTGATAACAGTCTTTTTTTTCCCCCCACTTAATATAATTTTTGTAAAATAGTGAAGATTTTTGATCTTTGCAGATTGACTAAAATAGGAACACACAGTTATTACAGGTGCAAAGTTACAAAGAAATCACTTCCATTTCTCTTCATGTTTAAATAGAGATGCAAAATCAGTTTGGGGGGGGATCTTGATGTCAATATGATACGAAATATATTTATTTCAGAAGAACTTTTTTTTTTGTTAAGATGAGAACTTCATATAAAAATGAAAAAACAAAGGAAATGCAACAATAGACAAAAAGTATGCAAACACTATAGCAAACCAAGATAACTTGGTTTCAAATTAACTGCATCTTAAGCATAGTAATACATGACAAAGTGCATAACTAAGTGACCRGCATTTATGATAAGAAGGAAGCTGCTATAACTCACATGAGATTTCTGAATTAATTCCTCTTTTGTTATTTCACCAACTGATTCCAAGTGTGGGCAATCGCTGCTGACTGACGACATCTCAGAAGCTCTGCTTTCCCTATATCCTGTATCTGGAGTTCTGGAGACAAGGAAATCACTTTTTAACAGAATTAAAAGCAAGAAAAAACATGATTTCTTACAGTAGGCAGCATTATCAGATATCTCAAAGGAAACATATACATAACCTGCCTTCATGTAACTGAATATAAATAACTATTAGGAGACTCTACTAGCCTAAATTCAACACAAGCTGTCTTCTAAAATGCACTCCCATTTCTTCTATCTTTTAGGACATACACCAATATGATCTTGTGATAAAGAACCTTTGGATGAATTATTTAGCTTTCTGGCTAAATACACCTAAAAGACAAAACAAAACTACCCAGAACTGATCCTGGCTTTGATTGTTTACGGTGGAAATGAGATATTATGTAACACTTAACCTGTGTTAACTATGAAAGTTAAAATGCAAGATTATGACTTGTCAAAGGAGACTTTTTTACTTTATTTACRGAGACACATTCAGACAACTTCAGGTATATTACATATCAAAGGCAAACTGAAACTTGCAACTCACACGTAGTGCAGAAAATTCAAGAAGCTTTCTCTTGGTTGGCTTCTCTCCGTCCTTTCAAGGTGTGAAGGAAACCTAGAAAGTTGTTAGAAATAAAATATGCTAAAGGCATTCACATTGGGAATATTACGATAGCTGCACATACAGCTGTGATTCTACAGCAGCAGAAAACTGAACATAGTAACAATCTATTTATGGAAAATACTCTATTTGAATTGTGCCATTAAGAACCACCCAAGAGTTTTCTTCCAATTTTCCCACCTAAACAGTCACTGTTGATGCTACAATCCTTCCAAAGCCCAAGTGTTAAGTTTTCTTGGTCCAATTACCACACATCCAATCTAGCTCTCCTTTATTAACACATGCAACTAAATTTCCAAACTCATTCAATGATGCACATGCCCCATTCCTTCTCCCACTCGATCAGTCTGCAGCTTTCAGCACTTATCAGAATCTCTTTCCAGTTCTCCTCCTATTTGCTTTGGCAGATTTAGGTCTCTGTTTCTTCAGCTACACCATCAATCACATCTTGAAAATAAGCACACCAGGCTAAGTATTAATCTTACACCCATACAGTATTAAACTAATGAGTATTCTATTGTCTAGAGAAAAAAATATTCTATTACATCAAGGGCCATTTCAGTTTAAATTTGCTGACAGTGTAAACCATGTTAGCCATGTTTTTCTACTAATCTTCAATATTTTTAATCGCTGGTGCAATCAAATTACCTTCAGAGCAAAGTTCTGAAGAGACAGACAAACCACTCTAACAATTTAATATGACAAAGTCAAAAGTTCCTATTTAGAACAGGAACAGAAACAAGAATACAGGTTTTGTCTCGAATGTGCTGCAAGGTCTATGAAAGCTTGTCCATTAAACAYGGACAAGCAAGTTTCAAGCAAAGCCCTAAGTATCTTAAAATCTCAGTGTGAACTAATACCTTTTTAAGACCAGAGCTTTAGGARGAAGGGTATAATAGTTCAGTAGGGCCTAAAGGCTTAATTAATTTTATGCACTAAGATTTCTCATTACATTACTGTAAGCAATATAAAAAGCAAGGAACGAAGCAGTCTTCATACTATCAGATTTCTTGTTAAAGGGCTACTTTTCACATTCAGAACTGTGCAAATACAACCTGCAGTCCCCAATCACCCCAAATCAGAGGTTCTGTTCGTTCCAGATTGCTTCCTGGTGCTGCCTGAAACATGGCTCTCCTAATCATTGTCGGAAAGACTGGAGCACGTTCATGTCCCTAGGGGCATGGTCCCCAGTCCTGCCCATATGGAGGGTACCCATTTTACAACCTCAGCACATAAAGAAACTATCACTATACTGGTGCAGGTAAACGGCCTTTCTTTCAGAGGGCCTTTCTGCTGGGAAAAAACACAYGTTCCCTCCCAGTCAGTAGCACTCATCTTGGTGCTTAAGGTACCTAACTGCAGTAAAACAATATGGAAAAATTTACATTAAGCTTCATTGCACTGCAAGATGGGATTCTAAACCACTAATCGTCTTCCATGGCTTGAAGAACTTGCAATCCAAGAGTGGCTTTTCCCTCACTCCTGCCCTTGCTCCCTTTCAGCACCTCCTGTTGATTCCAGCCCAGGATTGCTCACCCTCCTTCACCCCTACATTTGCCATCAATGTCCAAGGGATCACATGGTTAGCAATAAGGGATCTGTTTCTGCTACATTTCACAGATCCTTCAGGAATATTCCACACACTAACATGAGCCTTCAAAATCACAAGCTGAAAAACCTGGCCCTATGTCATGTCATATAAAAAACAACCTTTGCTTCACCCAGAGGTTAAAAGTGAAATAAAACTTGCCTGGGGAGTGAACTCAAGTTTTCACACTCCCTGCTCATAACCACATCCACATGCTAAGCTCTTTCTCAAATACTTCCCACATATTTGGAAAAGGACCTGAAGCACGTTCCCATCTTCCTTCATGGTTTCCACCAAAAGGTTTGTTTCAGCCCACTGGTCTCAATGCATCACACACTGTCACAACACAACATCATCCAAACAACTGAATCCTATAATATTCAGAACTGCTTAATGCTTTTTTCTTTTTTCCTGCCTATTACGACGTACACTGAGGCACACACTATAAAACTGAGCCTGTAATACTTACCTCATACTCTTCTTAAAAAATATTTTCCATTCATTTAGTGAAATCAAGTCTACTCATGGCAGCTGGTGAAACGTGAACTGTGCTTTAAAGCATCAAGGCAAGCAACCTATTTATTATTTATCAAAATTCCACAGCATCAGAGACTCACACAGTGCCTACCAGGGAGGCTCTATCATATCAAAAACCCTGTAAACAAGTCTTAAGAAATCACACAGTTAAAGAGGTCTTAAAACCAGGAGAGCAGGAAGAGTTGCCCTCTGCAAAGCAGGTTGCAAGTGAAAGGTTTTCATTCTCTGTTATGTTCTAGTGCATCACTACTAAAAAATCACATTTATTTTTCAACAAGACAGAGACACAGAAATGCATTTTCACAACTGAATCTATAATAAAAAAAAARCTCTGGTAGTTTCAGTAATTTGTTGCCACACAGAGAGTCTTCACACTTAAAAGACACCAGCATCCAACCCAAACGATACCTGGTCCACCAGAGCTAAAGATGCGGACATTTTTCCTTACATACTAAAAAACTGTATTGGTCTTAAAAAAAGATTCTTTGCTAACTTATCACAGATATTGATTCATTTCATGACAACAACATACATGAATAATTTTTATTATTTCCGAACTCAAAAAAGTTCTTTTTAAGACTTCCACACACTAACCTTCTTTATATCCTCTTAACCAGCAGGTATTTTTGATGTTGATTTCCCATCTCTCTCCCCCATCTCCCCCCCCCCCCCCCCTTTTTTTTTAAAGGCATCAAGTCTAAATATCTATATTAGCTTCCCTGGAAAGAAAAATCTAGAAGAAAAATGACTTTCCACATTTAAAATAAAAACTCTTATTTTCCTAGTAAGTGACAAACACCTGCCTGATGAAGTGATGGAGAAAATAAACCAAACAGCCTGTTTTGGGGCACAACAAAGCATTCACCCAAGCAAGAGGCAACTACAAGGTTTTGCTACATTTGCTTTCCTTTCCCTAAGGAAGTGTCCCTTCCCCAAGGCAAGGGGAAAGGACACTACCTCGACGGGTTCGCGCTCCCGCGGGCTCCGGGCGCGCGGGACAACACGGAGGCAGCGCAGCCGCCAGGGCCGGCCCAGGCCCGCTCGCCGCTCCGCTTCCCGCACAACGTTAATCCGCAGCGGCGCTGCCCGCCGCGCCTCTAAGCGGATTCCCCGCCTCGGGCCCTGCCGGGGCCCGCAGTGATTTTCCACTCGGTATCACCGCGGATTGGGTTTTTTTTTTTTTTTTTTTTTTTGATTAGTTGTTTTAAACCCGGCCCATTTCGCCCCTTGAGCACAGTGATTCAGACAATGAATCATGCCGTAAAACGGGAACGATTTCACGGGGAAAAAAAAAATAAAAAAAAAAAAGAGAGAAACAAACAAACAAGCAGGAGTGACCTCAGCCGCATCCCGCTCCTTTCCAGCCACCTCCTCCCCGCTCGGGCCTCCGGGGACAGCCGAGACGGCCCCGGCAGCCCCGGCCCGCGGCTCCGGCCCGGCCGCGCCCACCCGCCCAACGGCCGCGCTGGGCTCGGAGGCCGGGCAGAGACGCCGCCTGCCCCGCCGCCGGCCTCCCCCACTCACCGGAGCCGTGAAGGTCGCGCTGGGCCGCGGCGAGCCCCGCTCTACCGGAGGCGGCTGCGCTGCTGAGCGGAGGGACCGAGCGCCGGCGCCGCCGCAGGGAGAGAAGCGGCGGCCGAGCCGCGGCCGCGGCGCTGCTAACGGCGCCTGCGACAACCCCGCGCGCAGGACGCGCCCCGCACAAAAATGGCCGCGCGGAGCGTCTCCGCCGCTCACGTGAGCGCTGCCCGGCACAAAGATGGTGGCACCAGGCTCTCGCTCTACCTTACTCATCCAGTCGTGAGAGGAGCTGCCTGCCCTGCGCAAAGATGGCGGAGACAGCTTCGCAGCGGAAGTATCTGGGCGATTGTAGGGCTCTACTAGGCGCGCGCGCCGGAAGTGGATGGGCGCTGTCTCCTAGCAGCGCCGGGGCGGGTGCGGAGGCGCCGCCCGCGCTGGTCGCTGCTGCCCGCGGCGCCGCCGCAGCGCCCGGCAGGTAACGGGGAGCGGCGGCCCCGGCGCGCGGCCTCCCGCCTTTACCTGGGCCGCGGGCGGCCCCGGCGGGGGCTCCTGGCCCTGTCCCGGGGGCGGGAGGCGGGGGCCAGGCTTGCCAGGCTCTAGTGTCTGTATCGCGTCGTGTGTCCGCAAAAAAAATAGAAAGAAATATCGAATATGAGGAAAACTTCCTGGCTGCTCGCAAGCACTTCTGAGTTTCCCGAGTCTTTTGGCTGAGATAGGTGCTCTTCCCCAGAATACGGATCTCAAGTGCAGGCACGGGGCTGTTTCTGTGAATAACGCGGCGCGCACCAAGGGAGCAGCGATTTAGAGGTGCCCGAGCCCTGGGCAGAGCCCCACGGGGCCTTGCTCCGAGCCCTTAAACCGGGCCTAAGCCGAGGCAGCTTATTCACGTCCTGAGGTGCTGCACAGATCTCACTTTTCTTCAGATAAATGCAAACAAGCCCCCTGTACTTGCTGTGGAAGAGTGTTATGCTTTCAGAAGGGAGTTATGCTAGGCTCGTGTTACCCAATGTAATGTGTGTCCTTCSTTTAACAGAGTGCCAGAGACCATCTGCGGCTCCTGCCTTCGGCTCCTTCCCGTTAACGAGGTTATGGGAGAGAAGGAGCCATGTCAGAAGAAGYTGTTGGTGAGACTCGCTTTTCTTTGAGGACAGCAGCTTCGCGGGTGTTTCAGCTTCCCCTTTCTTGGTACTATTCTCTTAGCCAGGTAAMGTGTGAATTATCTGAATGTTGTCACTGATAATGTACTGTTGCATGTTTAACTGCATTCAGTGCTCTGTGCTTAATATGACTTATATTTGCAAGGAATATCTTGATTTTTAATTTATTTAGAACATTGAACTAAAGTGAAAGTGGGGTTTTTTTCCTACTGATTAACTGTACAGCATCATCAGACTTCAGAGYGCACTTCCTGTGCAGTGCTATGTTCTTATTGCTGAATAAACATTATAGCAGAATGATTCTGATCAAATATCCCAATTTTCCATTTGTTTGCTTTTTGTAGAATGCGTCAGTCAAGCTAAACATGTCTGTCATGAAATCTTGATTAATATTATGTGTGTCATCTGAAACATTTTTTTAGATTGCCGGTGCCACTTACAAATTTAATCTGAATAATAATTCATTAATGCAAATTTTAAAAATGCTGTAGTTATTGAATCACTTAATTTGATTAAACATCTGCTGCATGATTAAAACAAGGCAGTGGTTTTTTTCATTGTTTTTAAAGAAAAGACTAAGTTTAAACCAATAATGAGGAGTTCCTTATTTTTTCAGTTGTTTTCACAGAATGATCTTCTGCAAAGAAAATCTTAAATGCCTACTAATCATAATATTTACTTTTACAGATGACTGCAGTGTGGTTTATCTTCATTTATTTTGTTAATCTTGTAGGCTAGTTTTCATTAAATGAATAGCAACATGGATAGCTGTCCTTCAAATCTGAGAGATGCATGCATTATGATCTTAGTTTTCAGGTTGATAAAACCTGGAAGGATTGTAAAGCTGACACTCCCTCTCTGCAGGGAGCTGTAAGACCTGAGTTGTCCCTAGAGCACCTTGATGTCGAAGTTAGGAAGGAGGAACCATAATTGTGTTGTGCACACTCAGAGCCTTCTGTTGCTTGTAATTAACTGCATGTGTGTGTGATAAGTGATGGAGTGAAATATGTCTGAATTATTTGGGGAAACAAAAAAAAAAAAAAAAAAAAAAAAAAAAACTAGGGCTGGAGTTGTGAGCTACTACTTAATGTTTTGGGGGTTTTATGGTGTTTAGTTGTTGTTATTTTTGTTTTGTTTCTTCCCATTAGAGAACTAACTGAAACCCTGCATTGTCATGGCATTAAAAAAAAAAAAAAAAAGCCTGAAAATTGTTTACCTGTTTTCCCATAGGAGTATATTAATTTTTGGATTTAGAGCGTATGTTAGAGTTGGTCCTGAAGTATTGGCAGTGCAACTATTCATTTTGTCCCCCACCAGCTGCTTGTAATCTGTGAGAGAGCCTTGTCTCACCTGTTGTCCGCCACAACATTTAGGAAGCAGTTGAAGTGTGTCCTTGTTCAGAGTTGGGGATTTCTCAGGTTCTGTGAGAGCAGCATCTCTTACCTTTTTCAAACCTAAGGTATATCTTAGGTTGGTCACCCTGCAGCAAGAGGCAAGTTTAAGAGGCAAGCTAAGTTTACAATGTGGTCAACGCTTTTGTACTTTCAGATAAAGCTTTCCCCTGGGCTAAAGAAGTTGTTTACAGTAACAGCAGTGAGCGCAATATCTGTTATTTTTCTGGCTCATCACTTTAAAAGAAGGCGTGGAAAGAAGAACAGGAAAGGGGCACCGTGGGAGCCAGGTCATATAGTAATAGAATGCACCAAAGCAGCTGCGTCAGAAAAAGGTACATGAAGGAACCCCAATTTTTGGTTGTCTATTTGTTTGCTTTTTGGAAGGGAAGAGGAGAAATGGGGCTGGGAATGAGTGTGCATAACAGTACGTAGTAGTGAAACAAACTGTTTTCCTTCTAATGCTGTGCACATTTGCATTATTAAAGGAAGAATAAGAAAATTAAGAACAAAATTACAGTATTTTACAAGTTAGCAAGTATTACTCTCAAAGCTAGCATTTAATCATTGTTTAATCACTATCAAAACTGTCTTAACTCTTGAGTTTATAGTTCTTTTGGAGGTATCTGTATACTGAGAAAAAAAGATAGTTATTTCTATAGGCTGGGTGAATGATTATGCTTACAGGCATATTGTTGTAGATATTCTGAATATTAAATTCATAGTTCTAATATGGAAATGTAAATGAAGCAATTGTTTATTTCTGAACTGAATTTTATAGAAAAGTTTGAAAACAATTCTTGATAATTCTTGGTAATACAAAAATACAATGCTTTCAGCTGGCAGCAGCTTTAAAATGACTGTATCTCTTAGGTTCCAGTTGTTCCAGTAGCCGGCAAAACTTGACTCTTTCTCTGAGCTCTGCTAAGGAAAAAGGATCTCAGTCTTGTATCTATGCAAATGGAGGACTTTTCAGTAAATACTCTGGTTCAGTTCAGAGTCTGGCCTCGGTAAGTGAAGATGTCTTAAGGCTCTTTTGTGTCTGTTAACCTGCACTGCAATGCACCTAATGGTTTTACTGAGCTGGAACAACTTTCCTGAGCAATCTGCAGAGCTTCAGAAGGGTAGGCATGCTGACTGCCCAGAAAATGGATGATATATGAAGAAGGCTGCCTCACTTTGAGCATTGTAAAAATAGTACAATGATTTTCAGCATCGCCAACAGAAACTATTTCCCTTTTGAAAGTACTTCAAAAAGTAAGACTACATATACAGCCTGGACTGTAACGGACTGTGGTAGGAATGTATTTTTTAGGATGGTCAGTAAGATAATGCTGCTTTTCCCTCTGCTTCAGGTTCAAAGTGCTACCTCTTGTCACAGTTGTGCTTGTGCCAATTCCAATTCCTGGGATAAAGCAGATGAAGATGATATTAAGCTTGTCAATATTCCGGTGACCACGCCTGAAAACTTGTATTTGATGGGTAGGTTATAGTAAGAAAATTCATTATCTAGCAGCATCATGAGAAAGTATATGATTGTTTTTATTAGCAAGGTGACACTTTGCTATAGTGACACAATATTATTGTGTCATTCTTAGTGTCCTGCAAGCCTATTCTTTGTCCTGTACTGTGAGAATAATCTGTTTTAGAAAAATGTCTTTCTGTAGGCATGTGTTTAAAGAACATTTCCATAAAATACCGAAGTCTTGCTTCATTTGGAGTTTCTTAAAAACATATTTTATAGCTTACTGTTAAAATATAAATTAAAAATTGGAAAAAATATCGCTAGAGATTGTTACTTTAATCACTTCTTTAACTTCTTTACCTTATTAAAAAAACCCTTTTTTTTTTTTTTAAGATTGGGAATTGTTGAAAAAAATTACATTTCTACTGTAATAATTCTTATTGTCCACGTAGTTTCCAGTGACTCTAAAATGTGAAGACATATGGAGGCTGTGTGTTTGATGGAAAGGAGGTATTCCTGATGTATTCCTAGGTATGGAGCTCTTCGAGGAGGCGCTGCGCCGGTGGGAGCAGGCATTAACTTTCCGTAACAGGCAAGCAGAAGATGAAGCAAGTTGTAGCTCCATCAAGCTAGGAGCAGGAGATGCAATTGCAGAAGAAAGTGTAGAAGTAAGTATATTCAAGCTGTCATATACTGCTGCTCCTTGACAGTTCATTGGGTTTTGTTACCTCGATATTCTCAATTTCTAATGCAGTTACTAAAACTGAGTGCAAGTTATGACTTCCCGTGTAGTAATGTTCTATTTAAAGGATTAAAAAGCCACCAAGCACTTCTTTTAGCTGTTTTTCTGAACCAGATCCATTGGGTCATCTCTATTTTGCAGGACTGTAAGAATCCTCCTAGAGAGTCTCCTTAGCACAGGTACAGGTCTTGAGAAAGATGAACACACATGAAATAATGTAATTGAACTTTATTTTGTATTCCTTTGTTCACATGAACTAAATGCTAAAATTTTTTAAAAGAAACACTATTTATTTCTAGTGCAGTAAGCATCACAATTGAAAAGTACTTTTAAACCTAGATTTTAACATTAGTACATTAAATAAAGTGTGTGTGTGTGTGTGTGTGTGTGTGTGTGTGTGTCTGTCTAGAAAGGTGGTATATTTTGGATGTCATTATACTGTTGGGGGTAAACTAGTGGAGCACAATGAATTTTTTTTAAGGCATAATATTCTTTTTTTTTTTTTTAAGCCTTTTAGATTGTAAACAAATAACAATTTTAATTCCTTTCTTCTTGTAGGATATCATTAGTGTTGAATTCATTCATAAGCTTGAATCTTTGCTTCAAAGAGCTTATCGTCTTCAGGAAGAGTTTGAGGCAACCCTTGGGGCTTCTGATCCTGCTTCCTTAGCTAATGATATTGGTGAGTACTCCTACTTTTACAATCCTGTTGCTTGTAATAATGCCCCTTGTAGGGGGACATGACTGAAGTGAATGGAATTGTATCAGTAAATAAACAATATATGAATAAACTGACTCTATGTTATTCTTATTGCTAAGTATTATCTAATGAACTGGAAGTATGTTTTTTTCCTATCTGGGTTTTCAATGTACTTAATAATTTTCAGAATACTCCTAAAATTTCTGAAGTTTATGTTGCCTCAGATATTGAAATACTTAAACAGTAAGAATATATAATCCCTTTTTTATAGCATTGAGGTACTTGAGTATTTCAAAGTTGTATGTATTTTTTCCCCATCATAGTTTCAAAAAGTTTTGCAAGAAAACAACCAGACTCTGCTGCAGTTTTCTGATGCTGAAAACTGATGCTATTTAGCTCTTTCATAATTCAAGAATATCATAATTCAAGAACATCTAATTTCAAATAGCTGACAAAATTAAAAGGCAGCACATGTTCTTCTTGGATACTTCTTGGTCTGTAGCCTTGTCTGCCAGGCTGCAGCTTGCCTGGCACCAGGTGGCAGTGCAAACCCTCCTTCAGCCACTGAATACGGCTCTGAGTATGGTACGAGTTAAATTTAGGTCAAAGCTGGCTTTCTGACATACTTGTGTACACACGTTAATGTCACTCAGGAAACTAAAGAGAATTTTGATGTTGTATTTTGGTACTTAAGATCCTAAGCCTCTTCTAAAATTGTGGTGTATATCCATTATTAAATTACAAGTTTAGTCATAGTTTCTGTCTTCAGACAAAATTAAGGTAATTATCTTCTAAAGGCTTGGTGTATCATTCAACACAGTTATTGTATTGCTAAGTTACTCTAGAAATGTTTAAAATTGATATTATCTGGGTGCAATATTTCGATGCTTGTTTCCCAAAAATGTTCTGAGCAATTGAATTTCTATCCAACATTCTTTGTAGAAATCATTTTGCAGTCTTCCGAGTAGAGATTGTTGGTTGCTTTATTATGAGTTTTATCTGTGCAGGCCCAGATGAGTGGAGAGAACAGTGCTTGACTGTTTGAGATTCAGAGCTCTTTTGGTCATCTTGAATTTGTAATTTAACCAGCAAGTAGTATATTGGAAGCACTTCATTCTTTCAGAACGCCGTTTAGGGGCTGAAGTGAATGTGCTCTGTGTCTGACATGAAACAGGAGCATGTATACATCTTTGCTGCTGATAGGACAGTGTATCATTTGTGGCAAAACAGGCAGCATCTGCTAAATCAAAAATCAATGGTCCTGGATAACTTACACTTAGAACTTATTTAAGAAACCCAATAAGGATAGCACTGTGGTCTGTCTTTTACTATTAACTAATCTTGGAAAATGGAAGATATTTCAAATGCTGGAAGAATGCTGATTTTGGGTTTTTTTTCTTTTGGGGGGGGGAAGGGATAGATAGTTTTCTTTTAAAAGCTAAGGCTGAACAAGGAACTGCAGAGTAAATGTGGTGGCAGTGAAATAAGTGCTGCTAATTTGCAGCTCTGTTAGCATAGAGTAAGTGATAAAAGTGTACTTGGTGCCATTCAGCGTGGTTTTATGGTAGCTAGGTCTTGGCTGCAAGTTTCAGACCTCTCCGTTACTTGGAACTGATACAGCCTGTGTTAGATGGGTAAAAATAAACTCACTGACAATGAACACTTATTGTTGCTGCTTATTGCTACTATTTTTATACTACTTTACACAGTCAAGGGAGAAGTTTGTAAAAGACTTGGACCTTGCTCACAAGATGATGATTAGACTCAGTGGCTGGTTGTTTAAGTGAATTAAGTTAGCATTTGAAGAAAGTTCCCTCTGGAACACTGTTGGAAGTATTTTAGTTTTAGACAAACAGGGGTTTTGACACACTCTTTTAAGGTGTTTTATTCTTTTTTGAGAAGAGATGGATCTTTCTGCTCTTTAAATATGTCTTCCTTTATTTTTCTTCTTTCATGGACTTGGGGTGAGCAGGAAAAATCTTTTATTCTCAATAGGTTCATGACACTTGTAGCTTGTCATTAAAATGTTTATAACAAAAGCTTATGCTTCAGGGCTTCAGCTGATTGCCTGCAAGGGTTATCACATTTTTTCCCCCCCATTGTGCTTAGATATGATTTGTGATTTTTTTTTTCTTTCACTTTCTCCATCTGAAGTACTCGATTAACCACAGCTGGAGACGGGGTTCTGAGAGTTGGATAAAAGCTATTAAGTATTATCAAGACATGTACTTCATAAAGGTCTGAGTAGTAKTTCTTGTTCTGAAGCTGTAGGGTATTGTGAGCTCCAAATTACATCAGGAAGGAAACTTTCAGATACAGAAACTACATAAATTTCTGAGACTTTTCCATTTTTTTTTCTATAAGTTTTTTTTTTTAATATATCCATATTAGACATAATGATTTGCCCCCCACCCTCCTCCTCCTCTGGCATATGCGTGTCTTATACCATAATTGCAAACAATTGTCACACCACAAGTTTGTGATCCCMCTTGCTTGTTGAAGCTGGTAGCCCTGTTAAACAATTAGCTAATGTTAATGTGCTGCAGAGGAGAGGCAGAAGTTAATTACCTGGAGGCCTCTTATTAGTCTGGAGCTTGTCACTACAGCTACTCCCTCTCTCATGACATGGCCTGAAATGTTCTTTTCTGTCTGCTGTGATTGGTATAAGATGAGTTATCAGAGCAGTCAATCACTGCTTGAAGTGCTTGCGTGCTGTGATTTAGCTGCCTTTTGTTTTATCCGTTCAGTGTAAATTGGCACTTCCAGATATATTTCTCTGTAAGCTCTAGTTGAGTTATAAACAATGAAAAAAGGCCTGGCTTACATTTCTGGATAGTTTAAATAATGGAATAGAATTATGCTCACTCTCGAGGCATTCTCCACTGGACTTAGAGAATTACCATATAAAGTAGCAAATGCAGAACTAAAATAAGATTCCTGTAGCAGAAACACTTTTTGTCATGTTAGTAGAAATAAGAACAAGTTTATGGGGCTAAACTGCTCTTCTCTTTTTACACTTATCCTCTTAAGACTGTAAAACGACCTGGGAAACTTAGAAATAGGCTTTCCTCGGGCAGGCATGAGGAATCCTGAATTAGGAACGCCCATTCCTGTGCTGAATCGGGAGGAAGGCAATTGGCAGAAAACAATGAAACAAAGTACACATTTTTTGCATTTTTTCCTTTTTTTTTTCTTCTTCTCCCCTGAGTGATGGATATGAGGGGGTAGAGAGTTTAAAGCTTTCAATACCCTGTAGTCCATTCTGGAAGAAAGTTCTGTTTAGACCTCCCTTCTAGCAGACTGAAATGTTAGCCCATCTAAAYTGTGGGGAAGGCAAAGGTTTGGGAGGGAAATAACAGCTTCACTTATGAGCAGAACTGTGGGTTAAAGGGCAAAATCCTCCACTTGTTGGGATCTCTCTCAAGACTGAGTTTCTAGTGCATTATTATTTTGGTTTCTATGCTTAAAAGAAAGGAATGCTGGCACTCCAGCCAGTGGTGATGTTTATGCTGGCACCTAAACAAAACAGTAATTCTACAACCTATGCATCAATTAAATTATTCTTACTTAAAAGTTTTTACTAGCATTTTTATTTTATATTATTTGTACCATTTAAAACAGATTGTTTAGGTTATCACAGTCAAAAGATGGAGATCTGTGCTGTTGGGTGGGTTTCATGGTAGGCTTGTCTGTTTCTTTTTTTAATTTTCTTCTCACACTCCAAGATATGTCTGGCATTTTGGAGAGAATGAGCACAGCACTCAGTGATGAAACTCTTCAGAGAACATACTTGCCTATTAGAAACCCTTCCCCCAGCAGCTTTGAAAATAAACAAAACCTTTGTATAATCAATTACAAGTTTAAAAGTTCATTTTTATGTGTTCTTATTAGCCCAAACTTCTGTGGTGTTTTGCTGTCCACRGGTGAATATTTTGTGCCTGTAGTTTTGCTTCTTGTCTTTGAAACATTAATGGAAAAGTTTTGAGTCTGTGAGTACTGTTATATTCGGTTACACACAAGACAAGCTTCTGTATTCATAATTCTCAGGAAGGTCCTGGTCAGATGGTGAGAAATTTGTTATAATGCACTTAATTTTGCTTTCTAATAGTATATATTAATTATGATTTGAAAATGATYTTGAAGTAACTTTTTTCTTTTTACAATAGTTTGAAATATTTTACCTATTTTGGTACTCTAAGGAAAAATTGACAGTCAATAGCTTTATTTCTCAGGAAAATACACAGCCTTTTGTAGAGGCTGAAACATAATTGGGATATGGGTATTTCAAGCTGAACCAAAAGTGGAAAAAATAGTTTTTGGGTTTTGTTTTGTTAAGTGTGGAAACATTTTCATTGCAAGAAATGTTCTTCTAAAGCAACAAAAACAATATTGCTAACCCTGAGTGAAAGCCCATAAAAATCATTCCATTCCTATTAAAATGAAAGAACAAAAAAAAAAAAATAGCTTACAGCTTTTGGACATAATTAAGATAGTACAGTTGACAAAAGTTTAATAATTGCTAAACCTTGCTGGCTATTACTGACTGTCTCTTACAGCAAAAAGTTCAGTCTAACTCATTTCTGACTCACCATAGATATTAAAATGTCAGATATTTGATTTGGATAATGTGGCTTCTGCTAAAAGCAATATTGAAAAAGTCTTTAAGGGCATAGTTCTCCAATATTAATAACAATTTTGTTATAAACTGCATCAGGGAATTTCTTATCTAAGGAGTCTGTAAATGTAGAATGCTGAATAGAAGAGTAAGATCAGTTACAAAATAGATTAAAAACTGTAAACAGAAGTCTTTCTGAAAAATATGCATGAATAAAGGGACTGTAATGCCTTTCATTTTTCAGTCGTACTCTTTTGTTAATTTTAGCAGTACTATGATAAAAATGTAGAATAGCTCTGCTTAGAAGAAGAGGCATGTACTGAATCAGGTTAGTATTTGATGATCTTTAGCTTCATATGGGTAATTG